GTTCGCCGGGGCCAGGGTGAGTCCAGCCCGGCGGGGTCCCGGCGGGACAGGGGAGGCAGGAGAGCGGCAAAGGGCGCTGGCACAGCCCGGTCACCTGCCCGCAGGTACCCGGTGCCGGACAGGGATGGCCGGGTGGCGTCCCCATCCAGCCCGGCCCGACACGGACACACAGGGACCGGGAGCCGTCCCAGTGCCCCGAGCACTCACTCGGGAGCTGCTCGGGGTCTGGCTGGGTGAGCTGGGAAGGGACTTTGGGATGGATGCGTTTTCCGAACATCCCTTCCAGCCTCAGGTAAGACACGCTCGCAGCCTCGGGAAGGACAGGGAATAAAAACATTTGGGAAGCACAGAATGATTACATGAATCCAAAGGCAACCTGCACCTCCCATCTACTCAACATCAAAGCTTTTTGCTGGAAGACCCAACGCTCTTGTTTTGAAAACGTGTCTGACTGGTAGTTCATGTGTAAAGTTGCTCTTAAAATTCCCTAGTTTGTAGGAGAAACAGGACATTTCGCCAAGATTCTGTTGGGAGATGATGCTTCGTGAGCAGTTATTTGAAATTATTTTTCCTCCATGGCTGATTCTATCTGACTACTCAAAATTTCCCTTGCAATAGTGGCACACTTTGGGTCCATGGACAGATTGTGTTATACTGAAGTGCTCAATAGCTAAATCAGAGTGGAATTTTCCCCCAAATGCTCCCCTCCAGAGGAAAAAAAAATTAAAAATTGAGTGTGATCAAGTTAAATGAAGTGGTTGATTTTTGTTTTAAATTTGACAAAACTAAAACAACAAAGTATTTATCTCTGGCTTAAGCTGAAATAAAACATTTTTTCTCTTTAGATTAATAAACCAAGGATCTAATATAGAAAATAAAAAAGATAAAATGTTCAAGTGTTTGAGCACTTTGGAAATTAAGCATTTCATAGAAGTATTGCCAGCTGAAGTGATTTGCTTCAATTTTTTTATCCGCATTTTTGGAAGCTGGGGTATTCCCTGAATGAATCCCTGTTCATTGGAAATTCTCCCCCAGCTCTGCTAAATGTGTGTTTAAACACTTTGCTGAACAGAGGCTCGAGGTGATTTAATCCAGGCTCAGCCTGGCCACATCTCCTGTCCTTACACTTGTATTTTTCCTGAGTGATGTTGGTCTCTGAGAGGAAAAGGAATCAAACTGTTCTCCATTTTAAGGAAACTCCTATTTGTTGTTTCAGAATTAAATACTTTGGGAGAAAAAGAAGAAAAACACTTGAAAAGAAAGTTATTTCCTTTCAGGCCTTGAATATCCACACAGCCTTTAGACATATTTTCTAGACATTGAACCAAGTAAGGGTGGAAATGTTTCCCTATGGAACTGGAGTGCACAGATATCTTTGTTATCTCTCTGTAAATCTTTTAACATCTCCCATCAGTTCTGTGCACACAGTGACTCTGATCTGTCCTGAATGCAACAGCTGCTGAGGTTCACTCTGGGCAGTGCCCTGTCTGCCAGCACCAATGTCAGGCTTTTCCCCATGAAGTTCAGCTGGAAAATAAGGGGAAAAATCCCAGATTCTTCACATCCTGCCCCATGCAGAAGAAGGCAGAAAATTATATTGCACCAAATACCTATTGCTGCTTTTATGGGTTTATCTCTGCATTCTGGGAAATGGCCTAATCAGATTTTATATTTAATATAAAAAATAGTAGGACAGATGATATCACATCCTCAAAGCTAACTAAATTTTTTATTGTGCAGTCTTGCTTAATCAAAGTTTCATTTCCATTTGTTCAGGGCATATTTTGTCACTTTTTTTTTTACTGGCAATTTTCGGTAGATCTCATAGATGGATCCAACCCAGAGGTCTCTGAAGAGCAGAGGACTCGGGGTAAGGTCTGGATTTAATTCAATTTAATTCCTGACCCTTTAAGTATTCTTCAAAATGAGAAAACTGGAAATCAGCCTAGCAGGAGTCACCTGCTGGAAAGAAATATTTGAAGTTTTGCTAGAAATAAACACCATACAGGCATCCAGATTTTTATTATTTAAAATTCAATAGAAATAAAGCCTGTTAAAGGCAGGATCTTCCTTGCCCTCTCCCCCTCCCACCACGCAGACAATGTTCCAGGCTCCTGGCTCTGTGTGCCTTGCACAAATATTTGTCTGTGTGTCGCTGCCACTCCACTGCAATCGTGGCATCTGGTAGTAGCTGGGAGACTGGGAGGTGCTTGGGAATCTCGGCAGGAAAGAGAGAGAGTGGATTCAGACGCAAGATGTGCGACAGCGCTTGAGCCTGGATAAACAGGGCGAGGTTGTTGTGCCTGTGGCAGGGATTTGTTCTGCCCCAGACACCTGAGCCAGGTTCACCTTCAGCCTCTCTCAAACGCTGCTCCTGCCCCAGCCCAGCCCTGCACAGTGTCCCACACAGGGGGGACACAGCCCCAGCCTGCAGCCCACGCTTCAGGGCCACAGGGAGATCTCACGGAACTCTGAGCAAAGGATTTGGGTTTTCTGCTCACCCAAGTCATAGAATCACAGAATGGTTTGGTTGGAAGGGACCTTAAAGCTCCTTGGGACGTGGAAATTCTGTTCTGTGTGTGTTCAGCACTTAAAGATTCCACCTCTGGGACTCTGGCTCAGGGGTTTAGGAAAGGCAAAGAAAAGATCTTTCATGGCACAGCCTGTGGCTCTGCAGGTGAGCACATGGACCTGGCAGCAAGCCAGCAAACCCTGCGTGTCCTTGAGGAGAGAACTTTGCCTTTTGATTTATTTTAATTTGGGGACTCAGAATTTTTCATAAAGCTACAGTAACTTACACAATATCAGGCCCCACTTCATGAGAATATAAATGCACTTGCACAAACTTCAGCACTGAGCTCCCTCAGGGATCAAACTAAAGTCAAGCACTTGCCTGCACTGAGGATTAAAGGAAGTTTCCATAATTTTATGCAAAGATCTTCTCTTTATCCTGTGTTAACTTAAGGCTGTTCATTCTTCCCAAGTCATGTTCAGAAACACAACTCCCTCCCCTGTGATTTTCCAAAGCATTTTAGTTTTCAGGTGCCCAGCATGACATATTCCAATTAATCCTGATTTTCAGGGACCTCTAAGCACCTGCTCACTCTTGTAATTGGTCCCTTTCAAAGTGTCTCAAACACAAATATAAGGTGTCCAAAATTGCTAACTTCTTTGAAAATCCAGAGCCATGATGAACAGTCCACCTACCAGATTCCAGCCCAGGTGAAAATTGCATGGATTCAAGCCCCCCAAAATCAGAGGCAACAGTCGGTACCTGCTCCTGTGGGATGACAATGCACCCTGCCATTAGAGCAAAGTTTCTCTTAGAAAGGAGAAAATTGCACCATTCCCAGCGAGAATAGGAGCAAATCTTTTCAGTTCAGCTCACAAGATTATTAATGTTGTGGTCTGTAATTCTGCCTAATCAAATATTCTGCTGCTCCGTGCTGCCAGTCGAATGTTTGTGGAGAAATCAATGCCACGAAGAGATGGAAAACTTTCCCGAGTTCCTCCCCTCAGATGAGGAGGCCCCATCTGGAGAGCAAAGGCTCCAGCAAAGGGCACTTTGCAGGCTCGGACCTTGCATGGATCAGGAGCAGTGGGAATTTCTCAGGAGCGAGGAGAGCAAAGGCTGCTTCAGACAAACCCTTCCACAGCTGGGAAAGAGCTCACAATGTTTAAAGAGTTTTCAGTTGCTCCAGTGGGTTGTTTCTGTTATGGGAGATAATCTGTACCCTGAAAGCAGAGGGGACAGAGGGGACAGGAGGACAGTTCCCCTGATCCCATGGCCAGGCTGAATGCAGACCCCACCGGGATCAGGGAGCAGCAGCAGAGCTGTGCCCTTGCACAGGACCTGGCTCTGGTGACAGCTGCTGGTGGCAGGGACAGGGACACCCTCGGGACAGGACAGGACTGACTCCCACTCTGGCTCAGCTGGGAAAAGGTGAGCTGGGAAAAGAGCTGCAGCTCTGGTTTCACCAATGAGAAACAAACAAGAAAAGGCAATGGTTTGGCTGATTTTTGCAATCCTAATCTGAAATTTAAAGTCATTCCTAAGTGAGGCACCTCAGATCCCTTGTCCATAAAGACAGACCTCGTGATCTGCATTTCCAGGGTACCAGAAAACCAAATTCTGTGATATCTGTAAAGCTCTGGTGATCTGAGAGCAAATGGAACCAGAGAACAGAAAAAGGTGATTATCCTGTCAGGTTTGGCCTGGGAGGAAGATTATCCATCTATCTTGCCAGACCTATTTATCGTGTGATTTTCTCCTGGCTTAGCTTTTATCACCTTTCTAATCCTCCCCATCTAATTCAGACAACATTTTATCTCAGCAGTTCTCACCCTGTGCTGACGAAGGTGGGCTTGGAGCTCTGGGCAGGTTTTACGTGAGGGGCTGCACAGGTGGGTAGAACATTAATTGCCAGCTAATGAGTTCACAACTTTCAAAAATAAATGAGCTGGTATATTTTTCTAGAAGAGAAGTGCTGTATCTTTCTACTGGTCTGTCAATGAGGGAACGGGTTTGGAAGAACTCCTTTTCCGGAATTTTTAAAGAATGGAACCATTCCATGTAGCACACAAATCTAAATGTGTGTGTGTATATCTATACCTGTTGTACAAGGTGTATTTAAGTGGATGTGAAGTATGAAATTGGTTTCTGGGACAGGAATCATTTGGGATGCATCATTTGAATCAAGCAGGACTCGAAGATAAATTTGAGGCAGGTGATGTTTTTTGAGTATTGCTCATGATTTGAACCCACTCAGGGAAAACAATGAAATTCCAGGGCTCCCAGTCCCTCACAGGGTTCAAGACCCAAATCCCAGTGAGATGGAAGTTTCTCTGAATACCACAGCCCTTTGCCTTTTCCCTTTTCATCCCAGATCAATGGGCACTTTCCCCACCTTATTGCTGGTGAATGCATTAGGGGCTGAACTTGATCATGTCTGCAGCGGTTCCTGGAATAGCTGCAAGCTGAGCACTGGGTTAAGGACAGCCAGGAGGCTGGAGGGATGATTGCCTCCAGGCAGTCTCCATGGAGCATCCCAGGGTTCCTACAGGCACAGCCTAATGCGGGATTTAGGATGCTGAACAGACTCCCATTACAGGGCCAGCCATCTCCACACTTCCACACGGAGACACCTCCTTGTTAACATGCACACCAGTGGCTCCAGAACACAGCAGCCCAGCCGGGGCTCATTAGGGGCAAAATCATTCCAAGGGACATTGTTCCAGAAAGGAAAGAATTTCATTTCTCTCAGGGTTGGGGTTAGAAGAGCCTGGGTATTTTGCTCAGGTTTGTGTTGGAGCGTGGAGCTCGGCTGTGCCGGGGGCTGTGGTGGGGTTACCTTGAGAGGGACCCTGGCCCACATCAGGGGCACATTAAAATAAATCTCTGTTAAAGAGGTGACTTTAAAGCCTTTGTGTGTCCTCTGGGAGTCTGATGGAGGCTCTGTCTGTGTGCCTGGCTCTGCTCTGCTCCTGCCCCAGACCTGCAAAACTTTTGGGAGCAGGAGGGGCGGTTGTGATGAGGACATCTCAGTCCACTTTTACCAGCAGGTATTAAAAACCCCTAAGAATTATCATTAATAGATACAAATGAGTCACTACACAGCTGAAGTGTCAACTTTCTCCTGTTTACTGTGGAACAATTAACTAGAACACACAAGACGTCCAGTGCTTTAGTAATTCAGTGCAAAAAAACATCTAATTATCAGGTCTGAGAGGGGAAGGACTAAAAAGCAACAAGGATGAAGCCATTTGTCATCTGAGTTTGATTTCCTGTACAGAGTCCTGCACAAAGTGTGCTGGTAGCTCTCTTCTCCCACGTGTGCCACCGCTCCTCAGGAATAACTCTGATGCCTGTTCATTCAAAGCTCAGCTCTATTTTAGAAATCTACTCTCTCTGAAAGGGTTGTCTTTAAAAAAACCAAAAAATTGTACAGGAAAAAGGACAAAATTGCCTCTCAACAAAGGGGCCTATCAACAGCCTGTCAATAATGTGCCAAAGGCCAGAACCTGCCTTTCACAGAGGCTCTGAAGCCCCGACTGTACTTTGAGAGCAATTAAGGGATGTAAGCAACATGATGATTATCTCATGGGTGACATTTTCATCGGCTCTTTGGGAAAAAGGAGAGATGGGCTTGAGATGGCTGTGATCAATGTTCATCCCAGCCCTGCAGAAATGGCAGGAAAACTTGTGGTAGATGAGCCTGGAAATCAAAATGCGTAAGGAAAGGAAGGCTGGGATGATGAAGGAAGAGGTGATGAAGCAGAAGGATTTTAAATCCTAGAAGCTGAAAGAACGAGTTACATGAGAAGGAGACAAGCTGAGAAATGTGAGTGGGAACCTGTGACTCTTCCTTTTCCCATCTCAGGCCCTGTGTCTTCCACCTCCTCACTTATGAGGGCACAGCTCCATCCCAAGTGTGAGGAAAGAGGAGCAGAACGTTCCCAGGGGCCGAGGCGATGCCTCAGGGCTGACACGGCCGTGCTCCCTCTGCTCTTGCTCCAGAGCATTGCACAGTGCAAGACAGGGTGCAGTGGGAGCCTCAGCAGGAGTTTATTGCTTGGGATAATGCAATATCGCAATGGGGTGAGAGGAGCCCCAGCCCAGGGCGGCTCAGGGCGTGAGCTCAGCCCCAGCTCTCCCGGCTGGATCGGGAGAGCAGAGCCCGCACCGACTCTGCTGCCAGCACCAGGCCAGGGCAGGAGCCAAGCAGGAGTTCAGATGTTGCACATGCCCAGCTGCTTTGGAGCTAGGCAAAACGTTTCACGGAAATCACATCTGCAAAAGCACATTTGGCTGCACTATCTCCCCAGTTTGCTGATTTTCTTGTTTAGGAAAACAAACTTAATTGCAGCAGAACAAAATGTTGCTTAATTTGCTATAAAAATCTCCTTCCTAGATTTCATTTTATATAAAAATTAGAAATGTTAATGTTGAGGGAAAGAAATTATTTTTTAAGTGTTCGGAAATCTCCCTTGTCCCAAAAGATCCTGTTGTATTCCCAGCTCCTCCCTGCACGTATCAGCACACAGGAGCACATATCCAAATTTCTGTGTGCACCCCCACAAGTGTGCACTCACATCCTGGGCAAACAATTCCAGGCAGCTCTGACAGGCATAAAGCTGCTCTGCATTCTCCAGGAGTGCCTTTTGAAGAGGATCTTAATAATAAAAATAATGTTATGTTACTAGTTAAACACTGGGAATAATTCCTCTATCACAGGCAAGCTGTGCTGAAGCCGGGGATGAACCCACACGTTCCCTGGGAGGAATCCCCAGGGTCCCAGCAGGATGCATTAACAGCACATCTCTCCAGCGAGCCGTGATGGGAAGAGCACGGAGCAAAAAAAAGGTAAAGTGGTTAAAAACAACTTGTATTTTTAGAGCCCAGTCTCCCACAGAAATCTTCCGAGATGCTGAGCTCTCCACTTTTGATTTGCGAGGAATAATAGTCTGGAAGCCCAGCTGAGACTCCTGGGCTGTAAATTTTCTGTAGTGTTTTTCTCCGGACCCATTTGCTGTCCTGCTAATTAATCCAGGTAATGGCTGGGTTGTTTTTTTCCCTTCAGCAGCAGTTTTCCTTTTTGTTAACACGAACAGAGGGAACCGAAGAACCGATCTCTCGAAGGATCCTGGCTGGCAGCAATATCAGCATCTGACTGAAGAGAACTCAGCCGCACGCATAATCCTCGGGAAAATTCATCTCCACCCTCCCGCAGCCCCCGGTGAGAGCCCTTGAAGTGGTAATTAAAGTCTATTGAGTGGCAACTGCACCTGTTTAGAGAGGAGAGTGCGGGTAAGAGGTGCACAAAGGGAGATGAGCAGCGCCGAGAGGAACTGCTGGAGGTGGGGAGGAAGAGAAGTGGAAAGAACGGGGGAAAAGTATTCGTTGGTTTGTTGAAGTCGATCCAATCGGTTGTGCATTTCCATCCTGCCCTAGATTTGCTCTCTCCCCGCTCTCGCAGCCACTGATGGAAGCTCCGGGGGTTTCCCCACCGGCCCGGCCCCGCCGCTCCCGTGCTGGAAATCCGCAGCTCCGGGAGGACTCACGGCAGCTCCGGGGCACGGACACCGCTGCACCCCATCCCGGGGACCCTCATTAGTAACCCCATCCCAGGGACCCTCATTAATAACCCCGTCCCGGGGACCCTCATTAATAACCCCATCCCAGGGACCCTCATTAGCAACCCCATCCCAGGGACCCTCATTAGCAACCCCATCCCAGGGACCCTCATTAGCAACCCCATCCCAGGGACCCTCATTAGCAGCCCCCCGCTCCTCGGGACACGCCGGCTCTCGCCCCTCTGTCCCCGGAGAGAGCCGGTCCCTGTGTGCCAGCCCCGGAACCACAGCCGTCCGTGGGCTCTGGCAGACGGGGCCGAGCGCAGAACCCAGGCAGGAGCAGAGGGAGAAGGAAGGGACCGGAGTGGGGCAGTGCCTGTTCCAGTAAAGATGCTGGGCTTGGCCACATCCATGGCTCCCGGCTGCTGTGACCCGGTGTCACCCCAGATGTCCCCACGGTCTGTAGGAGAGACCATGCAAAATACACTTATTCATAAACTTTATTAATGGATTTTTACAAGGCTCGGCGAGCCAGAGACCAGTGCTGCAGAGTGATCTAGGTGCAGGCTCCAGGAAAATATTTATTCTGAGACCCATGGCTGGATCACAGAGTTCCTGGCTCCTTCTGTCCCAATCCCAGTGTGACCTCGGATGGCAGCAAACAGGGTCCCACGCTATTTGCCCTACAGATGAGGCTCTAAAACCTCAAAGACTCCTGCAAAAGCTTTTTATTGTAGGAGTAAATAATCACCCCTTACACTCGACACAGGCATTACTGATGCCCTGGACTCCCCTTGTTCAAAACTCCATTGTTTTAGGTGGCACTGGAGCAGCAATGTGGGCTTTGTCCCTTGTCACTGCAATTCCATGTGTGCCCCAGAATCAAGTGGGCTGAAGCAGGATTGCTGGGGTGAGAACAGGAGGGGACAGAGGTTCATCCTGAGAGCACCCCGAGGCTGAGCAGAGCAAATGAGTCAGGCAGAAGAATTCCACCGGTGCTGGCAAATTTTTCTCTCTCGCTGGACTTGATGGCAAGCAGTCCCCTGTGAATCCCTGACCTTCACACTCCACAGGCTGCCTGGGATGGCTCACAGAAACCACAGGAGATTTTTTCCTGTTCCTGATTGTCGGAGCACACAACAATTCTGGTGTGAATGTTGTTGCATCTGCTTTGGACAAGTCCTGTCAGCAGCACCTCTGCAGCTTCCCAAAGCTGTGCCAGGACATGCTTTGGTGTGAATGAGGATAGGGAAGAACTTACACTCAGAGAGTCACAGAATCCCAAATGGTTTGGGCTAGAAGGACCACAAAACCTGTCCAATGCCACTGCTGCCGTGGGTGAGGACACCTTCCACTGTCCCAGGCTGTTCCAGGCCCTGTCCGATTCCATTGACTGTTCCAGGTGGGATTTGAAATTAGTTGGGTGTCTGATCCATTTGGCTGCAGTTTGTGGAGACAGACGGACATCCCTGGACAACAGGATAACCTGCCAGTCAAGTCCTGTCCCAGGGTGAGAGGGTTGTTGGACAGGGAGGCTACATGACACCACTGAAAGCCCAGCTGCCACAGAATCCTCTCTAAAATACCCTCCTCACCTCTTAAATTCCAGTCTTGTGCATTAACCAGCTCGCTGTGTGGAAGGGCACTGTGTGATAACTCACCTTGTTTCTGCCTTTTGACTCCCAAACACTCCTCTCTCATTTTTCCCTTTTAGCCCTCCTGTCCCTCGGCCCTTTTCTCTCTCCACCTTTCCTCTGATTGCTGAGCAGCTTTTTGACTTTTCCATCAATAAGTCTAAAGAGCATTTGAACCTCTCTGGTCCCCCTTCTCTCCTCCCTCCAGTTCCAAATCAGGCAAGCTCATCGATCAGAGGAGCTCAGGAAATATCTGGTGTTTTGTTGTCAGGCTGATAATAACATTGCAGTTGTGAATGGGCTGCTGCAGGCCTGATCATGGACACCTGCAGGGTTTGTTTAATTGCATTTAATGACAAATCCTATACAGAGGAGCATTGCCAGAGAGATTTATTATCCGCCAAAGAGGCAAAGCACAACAGCTCAAAATATAATTTGCACTGAGCATTTTTCCCCCTGCCTCTCTTTAAAGCACGGTAATAAATGACAAATCGGGTAAAGTGGGAGACATGGGGTTGGGGAGGAGGTGGGGGGCAGAGGACAGAGATTGAAACCAAAGGAAATAACAGCAATAAGGCCACATTGTTCTCTTTGCCCTCCCTGTGGTCTGGTGTAGAGGAAATACTGTTTGTTTAATTTACAGCCTGGAAGTGCAGCTGGGGATCTCTCTGTGATGAGCCTGGCAGAGATAGCTGGAGGCCAAGAGTCCCCACTCTTTCCAGACAGGCTTTTTCCCCGTGTTCTGCAGCTAAGTTTAGCTGCCATCCATAGAAACAATTACTGAGGAGCCTCCCAGTGCTGGGGAGAGGGGCGAGGTCCAGCTGCCACCAGCACAAGGAGCCACATCCCTGAAATCTCTGGGACAAACCTGAAGTGGCAGATCCCTTCCTGACAAATATCACACGGAGAAATACGGCCCCACAGAGACAGTCCAGACAAAAACCTCACACGCCTCCGAGGCTGCGATTTATGTTTCCTGCTGAACACCTCGCTCTGAACAGGGAATGTCTGGGTGTGAAACCAAGAGAGGAGCTCTTGCTCACACGTCTCCTGTCTTGATTTTTACCAGTCTAGCAATGATTTGTGGTAAATCCCTTCGTGGAGCTGTGTGCCAGAACAAGGACTGAAAAGTGTCCTTGTCACCTGGAATTCCAGTCCAGCTCAGTGCCTCCCCAGCTGTCTTCTCTTTCAAATTCATTCTTCTTTACAATTCATCCTCTCTTCCAGTTATCTTGGGCTGAAGACTGAAATGTCCTGAATTTTTATTTCCAAATATTGTCTCACTCCCCAGATGTTTTCACTGCAAACTCACTACTGTTCCACTTGATATTCAGATTAGAATCACACAATACCCTGCCTTGTAAGGGACTCACAAGGATCATCCCATCCAGCCCCTGGTTAAATTTTACCTGGGAGGTTTGGGGTGACAGTTTTATACAAGAACACATCCCCCCCCAGCAGTTGGCTCTGTCCTTACACAAACACGGTGTTGGGTGACACCTGGACCCGTTTTTATCTGATTTCCTGGACAATGGCAGTATCACTAATGCTCCCTGTTAAATAAGACCACCTGGACATCTCCTGCTATCAGCCCCAGCTATCACAAACACCTCTGCTACCTGGGCCAGCACAAAGGGCTGTTATCTCGGAGCAGCACAAGTCCCCAGACTGAAACACCCATCTGGAGATAAAGTGTCCATAAAAGCACATGTGTTATAAAAAAGGAGAGGGAGGGAGGGATGGGACCGCTCCCCACGAGTTCCCACAGGGCACAGCCCCTGCACACCCAAACCCTCTCCTGCTGCTGCACCCTCTTCATCCTCCCGTGGAAGGAGCAGCCGAGGCTGCTGAGGAATGGCTTTATCTCTTTCTCTTTCTCCCCCACCCATAACAGTTGGGTGAAGATGGGAAGAGGCTGTTCCCTGCCTGATTTCAGTGGCTGAGGTGAGCAAAGCTCTGCTGGACAAGGAATAAAGTCAGATCCTTTCCATGGGCGGGAGCCAGCACCGTCCTTCCACATCTCATCCGTGTGAGGGATCAACAGAGAAAACCTGGGCAGTGAAAGAAAAGCTGGACCTGAACCAAAGATTGCTCATCAACAAATCCAGAAAAAGGGAGCAGCAAAAGGGGTTTGTTTTCCTTGCTTAAATCAGCCTCTCAGCGGGATTCCAGGAAACTCGGCACTATCATTATCTTTCTCTTTGCAGAGTCCTTCTCTCCCGTGTTCCCCAGCATATATTGCATTTGCTTATTGTAGTCAGACTCATACACAACTGGGAGACAGACAGCTTGGCAGAGCTCTCCTGGAGAAGTTTATCACAGGGTAAGGCAGGAGGAGCCCCTGCTGAGCCCTGATGTCCCTGTAGAGTCTCTGGAGTGAGAAAATGGAGCAGAAACTCACGGGAACAGCACAAATTGGAGAGATGATTACAGGGAGATTTGATGTGGTCTCAGGAGGAACGCTGCAAAGGGCAGCATCCATCCCTGAAGGAGAGACAGGAGCAAGGATTACAGGATGAGAAGAACTGAGGAAGGATGCTGGGAGAAGACGTGCGGGAGGACGTCCCTGAGGAGGAAGCGCTGCTCTCCTGGCCTGGCTCTGTGTGGAAGACTAGTGATTTTGTTGTTGTGTTTGTAAAGGTGACAACAAATCATAGCCTGCCATACAGCCCAGGCTGCCACGGCCTGGGTGTGCAAGTGTTTTGGGTGCTGGAGCTCTTGGCTTACGCTGCTCCTCAGTCCAAATGTCCCCCAGTTCCTTCTTCGGCCCCATTTATATCCTGAGTGTGATGTCCTGTGGTCTGGAGCATCCCTGGGGTCAGCTGGGCTCAGTCCCAGGCACCCCCAGCCCCTCCCCAGCATGGCCAGACGAGGTCACTCACTTGGCTCTGAGTGAGCTCAGCAAGAACAGAAACATCTCTGAGTTACCAGCCCTGTGTCAGCACAAACCCAAACACAGCCCCAGAGCAGCCAGTGAGAAGGAAATTCTCTCTGTCCCAGCTGAAAGCAGCACAGGACCCAAGGAACCTGCCCCAAACACACCAGAGCAGGGTCAGGGCACTTGGACACTGCCAGGACCTCCATGCCTGGCAGGGCTTCTTTGGAGAGTTGAGCCCATTGCTACCAACAGGGTCTTAAAATATAAAGAGCAAATTTTCAACACCATTCAGAGCCTCCATTCTCAAAGGTATTTAGGTGTGAAAATGAAACTCCTGAATCCTGCCGAGGCCAGTGGTAAAAGTACTAAAATATCTTTAATAATTTGGGTTGTTCATGCTGTCGAGCACTTTTCTCCTTTTTTTTTTTTTAATTTACCAGGCTCAGCACTGCCCACATCACTGGTACTGTGGCAGATGTGATTTAGGAATCACACAATGGTTTGGGCTGGAAGGGATCTTAAAGCCCATCCCAGTGCCACCCCTGCCATGGGCAAGGACTCCTTCCCCTATCCCAGGCTGCTCCAAGCCCTGTCCAGCCTGGCCTTGGGCACCGCCAGGGATCCAGGGACAGCCACAAATCTGTTGCCAGAACAGTTTTAAACCTGTACAAATTGCTGTCATTTGATGGTGCCTGAAAGAAAAGATTCAGGTTTCATAAACCACAACGTCTCTCTCTCCCCCTGTCTTTCACTTTCCCACTGACAGATTAAATCCACACAAAATTCCGAGGGCAGCAGTGCAGCCATTAATGCTGCAATGGCCAGGCTGGTGTCTGATGTAAATGAAACTTTGATTTAGTGTTCCCCCAGAAGCCTCCCCAGCGTGTTCATCCTCTGCAGGCTGATCAAAATCCTCCCTCCCAGGTACCCGCGGCCTCGTGGCCCACATAAGCACAGAAAATAATGTCATCAGAGCCCTGCTGATGGAGGCAGTTACAGGACAAAGGCCCTGCAGCAAGGTGGGGATTGGGTCATCGTTCCTGCTAATGTCAGGGTGCCATTTCTCCCTATTTTTAGAATTGTTCCCTTTGTACAGCAAATTGCTTAACTATAGAGACAATCTGGTGTTCGCTGGCTTTGGGAGCAGGGACCCATCTTCCCTGGCTTCAGGAAATCACAAAACCACTGAAAGCTGGAGATGGATAAAACCTGGGTACACAGGAGCCTGCAAACCTCAATTTACACTGAAAACCTGAGGAGCTGCTGCAGCCCTGACTGAGCACAAAGGAAGTTTCTGCAGGTTTCTAAATTATCCACTCTGCTTCAGAAGGAAGAATAAATCAGTACTGACTCTGCTCCTAAATTATTTTGATGCTTTTGGAACTCTTAGCACAGCTCCAAACTTCACCGAATTTTGAGGGAAGAGATGGGGAGCAATGGATTAGGAATTCTGGAGCCTTTCACACTGAGGATGTTCCAAACCATCCATCCCAGCCCTTTGTTCCTCTCCACATCGTACATCGTGGTTGTCCCAGACACCTCAGCATGGATTGAAGCTCTTTGGCTTCAAAGCAGAGCAAACACGAGCTGTAAATTCCAACTTTGCAGCCTAAATAAGCCAGACAGAGAGAGAACAGTTATTATTCCTGTGTTATTGGCAGGGAATTGAGACACAGGAAGATTAAATGACTGGCCCAAGGTCACCAAAGGAGCCTCCTGTAAAGGTGAGGGCTCAGCCTGGATTTCTGAAGTCTCTGCCCAGTACTTCAGCCATCCATTCACTTGCTCTTTAAGTACCCTGTCATTATTTCTGTGAAGGAAATTATGCTCCTCCTGCAGCAGCCAGCACCGTGTAATTCAGCTTGTCTGAAAGGGAATATGAAATGGCAGTTTCACAAAAAATTAACCCTCCTGCCACGCAGCCTGGCAGCCCTGTCACAACGTCTCATTTTTTATCTGCTCTTCCTCCCATGGGGATTTAACTCCCCTCTTATTCCCAGAACTCTGGCTGGGGCTTTTTCTGTGTTATCCCAAAAACCCTACACAGGTGTCCCCTGTGGGGGACTGGAGGAACAGGGGGGTCTGAGCCCCCGTTCCTGCCCCAGATGTGGGGATTCACCCACCTTCCTGAGCTGCTGCTGGCACAGGGAGGAGCAGGAGCTCAGCAGGAGAACCCGGGAGCAGCCACACGTCCCTGACAGCCTCAGAGGGATGGCACAGATCCTTTGTTCCCAGCTGTGCTGTCAGTGGAAGTGGGAGCTGTCCAGGAAAGAGGCTCCAGCTTTGGAACAGGCTGGGAGAGCTGGGGGGGCTCACCTGGAGAAGCTGCAGGGAGAGCTCAGAGCCCCTTCAGGGCCTGAGGGGCTCCAGGAGAGCTGGAGAGGGACAAGGGATGGAGGGACAGGACACAGGGAATGGCTCCCAGTGCCAGAGGGCAGGGCTGGATGGGATAGTGGGAAGGAATTCCTGGCTGGGAGGGTGGGCAGGCCCTGGCACAGGTGCCCAGAGCAGCTGGGGCTGCCCCTGGATCCCTGGCAGTGCCCAAGGCCAGGCTGGACAGGGTTTGGAGCCTGGGTCCATAAAAGGCTGGGGGTGAGGAGCTGAGGCTCCAGCACATCCCACATCCAGGGATCCGCAGGGAGAGGTTGCTGTGACACTTCTGCTCTTTATTCACTCATTACTGAGAAATTTCTTATTAATGGAAAAACCATTTCCATCAGCTGCACTTTACCCCACAATGTCTCTGAGCCCACCCAGGAACGGGGGCGGGCTCCGAGGTGGATTTGGGACCTAAAAACCTGTGTGGTGTTCTGGTGAATTCCTAATGGATTCTACGGAGGGGAAATTAATAGGAAGCTTTGCTTAATAGATACTTCAGATAAAAGAGCGAGTGCATCTGGTCACCATGGCAACACGAGAGCCAGCGGGGAGAGGAAATGTCACCGTGTCTGTGCCTTGACCTGCAGCACAAACAGCCTGGGAGCTGGGGGTTTGCACTGCCTGCTCACAGAGGGGACAGGGACGGGGACACGGCACTCCCGGGCTGGATATCCACAGCTCAGGAACATCCAGACACACCCAGAGGGTTCACAGCGCTCAAATGGAACTTGTGGGGCTTCTTCTGGGTGAAAACACGATGAACTCGTGCCCAGAGTTGTGTGTTCCCACAGCCCTGAGGGAGAGGTTGGACTTGGTGATCCTGGAGGGCTTTTCCAGCCTCGAGGATTCCCCGGTTCCTCCTGTCCTGATGTGCAGGGAGCTGCCCTTGCACAGCACACACACCCCAGAGATGTTTGAGGGACCTTTGCCCCTTTTCTTCTCAAACACCAAGTCACTGTGGCACAGAATTCCAGAAAGTTTTGGACTGGATGAACCTGAAATCCCATCCAGTGCCCCCCCTACCATGGCAGGGACACCTTCCACAGTCCCGGGCTGCTCCAAACCCCATCCAGCCTGGCCTTGGGCACTGCAGGGACCCAGGGACAGCCAGAACCGCTCTGGGAAATCCATCCCAGCCCCACAGGGAACAATCCCCGGGCACAGACCTCGTGTGGGAATTCTGCCATGGATCTCTGGCTCCAGGAGCAGCTGCTGCTCCTGGGGACTTTCAGAAGCTGCTGAAGTGAAATCGGGCTCCTGCTGCCTGTTATGCAAAAGCAGTTTCTTAGCAACAAAAGTGATATTCTGTGTGAAGGCAACAGGCATCAGTGGGATAATCCACTGTAATTCCAGACAAGACCTAAAATGGGTGGATGGACTGAATAATAATCATGACAGACAGAATAATAATAATGGAAATAATGAGACTAAGCTTATTTCCCTGGCTAGGAGAAACCCAGCTATAAATAAAATACAATGGGAGAAACCCTGTGCCAGTTCTCTGTATAAAGATTAGGGACACTTAAACTCAATTTATGCCCTAAAAATAGACTCTGGTGAGTAAAGCTTTGCTCATCTAAGTGGAGCTATTTATTGCTTGTTTTTCCTCACTCCGGGCAGGTATTGTCACTCAGGGATGGAGCCAGCTGGACATAATGTCCCGTGGGGGGAATTGGAGAGAATAAATCTGTTTTCCCTGGTGGGGACGAGGCTTTGCCACTTCCAGGGCAGGAAACTCGTACTTTAAAACGCACCACCCGACCTGTGCAGGGCCGTGGGCTGGGCTGCGTCCTCCCTGTGGCTCCGTTATAGCCCAGGACATTATGACTTCATGAAACCTGCAATTAAACCGCGTCAGATTAATGATGTGCAGCCGCTGTGTTTTGAAGTGCCAAAACATCAAGGAATTTAAGAGAAATAAAAGCGCTGTGAAACCAGCACGCGCCTGGACAGCGCCTGGTCCGCGCGGGGCGCACTGGGAAGCGCAGTCCCGGCGCTGGTGAAACCCCGTTAGCGGCGCTACCGCAGCAGGGCGAGGGGACTACACTGCCCAGCATGCCCCGCGCGGAGAGGGTGCACATCCTTCGCGCCTCTCCCGCCACCCGCTCTGCCTTCTGGGAAACAGAGTGCGCGCGCTGCGGCGCCGGGCGAGCAGCGCCGCTCCCGGGACTACAGTTCCCATCACGCACCGCACGTCCCGCTCCGCCCCGCGCGGCGCCATTTTGTTCCGCGGCGCAGCCTGAGATGGCGGTCGGGCCCGGACGCTGAAGGTCCCGCCGCGCTGAGGGCAGGGGGGTCTCGCCGCCCCCCGCCCGCCCCGCGCCG